CTTGTCATTGTCAAGTACAGCCATTGAGCCTTGTGTTGGCTTACACCCACTATAGTCTACAAATTCTGATTTGCAAAAATCAAATTAGTTTCTCCACAATGGCTTACAAGTTTTCCTCACTGCTCAGGACTGCTTAAACACAGCCCCTTATGATGTGACGATGCTGATATTTTTCTCATCCGTGTCTATATTTAAAATTTTTAAATGCCTTTGCCATCATCCTACTGTTCAAATTGGAGTGCGTTGAAGAGGGCTAATTTGTTAAAGAAAATCATGCTTTTTTCCCTGAGTAGCATCTCCCAAAGTTAAAACATACAGAATTCAGAAAACATCACAGAGAATTTACAGAATCCTCAATTTTTCCATCGTTTCCTGTGAGTTGACAAAGAGGATCAAATATTGCAAATGCTGTCAATAGCTGTGGTTTATTGAGCTCAGACTATGTACCCGGCAAATCTCAGAGCTAAAGCCTAACGCACCATGGAGGAAGTTGTCTTTTCAACACAGGCAGCAGTGAGAGAAGACAAACCCTTTCAAATGAGCCTAGACTGAACGGACTTGAGTTGTGTCTACAGTGACCACAGCCACAGCCAGGTCCTGCGAGACAGAGGGCGGTACCCAATGACTTACCAGGTTTTAGCTGAAGTCCTGGGCAGTGGCTGCTGACTTAGTCCTACGGCTGCTGTAGCAAATTACTACAAAGTGGGTGGCTTAATACAACTCACATGTATTATTTTCCAGTTCTGTTGGCAGAGCTGGCTCCTTCTGGAGGCTCCAAGGGAGCCTGTTTCTTGCCTTGCCTAGCTTCTGAAAGCCTCCTGAATCCCCCGGCTTGTGGCCCCTTTTCCAACTCCAAGCCAGCTGTATATCATCTGCACACTGCTTCTGAGCCTCATCCTCCATCCCTCCCATGTGATGACCTTGAGCCCCTCTGAACAATCCAGGATCATCTCCACATCTTAAAATCCTTAATCTAGTCACATCCACAAAGTCCCTTTGCCATGAAAGGTAACATATCTGGAGAGCCCAGGGATGGGACAAGGACACAGGTATCTTTGAGGGGGTTACTATTCTGCCAACGCCACCTTCCTTCAGCCCTGAAGAGGAGCTCGGCCACAAACATTTTGCTCAAGTTATCCATTCAATATCAACTCCCTTGAGAAATGGAAATTCAATACTTAAAATTCGTTAAACATTTGATTTTTAGCCCCTCACTGTCAGAGAGTTTGTTGTAAAATTTAAAAGTATTGCCAAATAATAAAATAAACATATACTTGTGGATTTACGCATGCCAATAAAGGACAAAACCCACATAACAAGATTATCCCAAGTACTCCATGTGCTCCGGGTCACACGGAAGTGCACCACACAGTCATTCCCCATGTGGCCCACTGCTCTGTCAAGCAGCAGCCCATAGCTAATCCTCTTCTCTCTCTACACTCTCCCTTGATTTCTCCCAGTCTTGTGGCTTTAAATATCATCCATGTGATTACAACTCCCAACTCTGTATCATTACCTCAGATCTTGTTGCTGAATACCAACCTTCCTATCTAATTGCCCACTCACTTGTCACTCCTTCATGATGCCCAACAATCTCTCAATCTTAGCAAGTTCAAAATCGAACTTGTAATTGTCCCCGAAAGCTCCGTTTCATTTCCACTCTGCCATCTCCCTTTCAATTGATGGCAACTCCATACTTCCATGTGATCAAGCCAAAAGCCTTGGGCACTGTCCACCTCTTCCTCTTCCTTTCTCATACCTGGATCCAAGTGGAAATCACGATGGTACAACTTCCACAACAGATCTTGGGCCTTATCACTTCTCACATCTCCACTACAAGCACTCCCACAACATACTTATTTAGTATGGTTATTATTTATCAAGGCTCTCCTTCTAGAATACGAGCACTCTGAGAGCAGGGATTCTTGCCTGTTTCATTCACTGCAATGTCTCAAATGCCTGACACACAGTACCTGCTCAGTAAATACTTGCTCAGTGGATAAAGGAATAGAGGGACCAGTGAGTTACACCCTAGTGCAAAAGACTCAGTGTGTGACACACCAAATGTCACAGGTATGTGGTCACCACATCCTCCTCAGATGAGGAAAGTCAGGCTCAGAGACATGAAGTGAACTGTCCGAGGTCTCTTCTGAGATGAATTCTCTCTTACACAATATCAGGTACTCTGAGGCTTTGCCCAGGCGAAGGAACCGCAAATGTCACTGAGTAATCATGATAAGGATAATTATAGTTAAGGTTTATCAAGCACTGGCGAGAGTCCGAGGATGTTCTAAGTACTATGTACATTAACTCTTTCAGGTAGGGTACAGGATGGATATTTAGGTGCTGGGACTCATCTGGAGTCTCAGAAATCCAGTGTGAGCAGCTGCTCCCTCCATCTATGAGGCCATACAGGTCCCCTGTGTCCTGCTTTACTGGAAGGTACCCCAAATCCATGGGCACAGGTCCCAGTGCTATCCACCATGGGATCACAGAGTTCTGGGAGATGTGGTCTTTACCAAAGGAAGGACGCCATGCTTTCTTTCCCAACATATCTTCTCCATGAAAACTCAGTTTGGGAACATGAGAGTAGGTCAGAAGTGTGGCTGTGAATGTAGCCTTGGAGGTCAGTGCACACTGAGATGACACCATGGCACTGTCACTCATCGGTCAGGTCCCTTCAGTAGACTAGTGACCTCCTGTGCCTGGCTTACTTATGCCCCACATGCATGAAAAAAGCACAGCAAAGCAAGACAGAGAGGACCGCTGGCTTTCAACACAGACTACCTGGGCTCCCATCCAAAATCTGCTACTGACCCATCTTAGTGACTGCAGATAGGTGACAGGGGGCTCAGTGCTCAACTTTCTGATGGGTCAAAGGTAGATGACAGCAGCCCATTCTCACAGAGCTACTAGGAAGATTAAATGAGAAAATACTAAAATGGGGAACACTTAGAAAGGTGCTGGAATACCATTCAATAAATGTTAGTCATTCTTTTTAGTCTACTGTTCACATTTTTTTCCAGGTTCAGCAGAACTTTTTCATTCTGGAAATTCTGCACCATTGCCCCCACCCATCCATCCTGATAGCCAAGACCCTACAGCCAGCTGCTGGCAGCTCTGCCTCTGCTGAGCCCCTGCATGTCCATTCTAGGCCATGATGCATCCCTGTCTCCTGTCGGCATCCTCTCTGGATACTACTTAGCATCCTTAGCATCCTGGGGCATCTTTGTCCAGTGCATCTCCAGTACATTGGAAATTGCTGACACAAAGTTAGGAGCTTATTAAATGTTTGTTAAACTCTTTAATACAAATAAAAACTCTTTTATAAAAAATAAAAAGTTATTAATAAGAGTAATCATCACCTTCCATGGGGTGGTTCTTGAATGCTGAGCACCACGCTAAGCTCTTCCTAGGTATTATCACCAGCCCTCACTGTCACATACCAGCCAGCTGAGGACTGGGAATGTAGCTCAGTGGTTGAGTGTTTGCCTAGCATGCATGAGGCTCTGGGTTTGAGCCCCATTACTGCCAAAAAAAAAAAAAAACTAGCTGGTAGAAATCCTGAGAAGGCAAGGATTCCAGGCTCTTGGCAGTTTTTTGTAATCCTCAGCCAGCAGCAGCTGCTGGTTACTGCAGAAAGCAGTAGATGTGCCTTCTCCTGACAGTGCCAGACTTCAGGGATGGGATCTAAGGCACTTGACAGTGCCAGTCTTGGGGATCAGGCCTAGGGTGCCTGACAGCACCCTCAGCAGCAAGCTTTATAGCTCTCCAGCTCTGGGTTTTGGGGTCCAGAGCACTTGACAGCTCTCAGCAGCAGAAGTGTTAGAGCTCTTGCAATCAGATTAGCCAGATATCACCTCTGCTGCTGCTTCTTCTCCTCTCTTTTCTTGTGTTACCACATCAGTCACTCTACTAATGAAGAAAATAAAAAGTAGGCAAGAAAAACCACTTGAGAAAAGTCTTCATTGGGCCTAACATTGCAACACAGAGGGGCAGCATAGGAGAGTGTCTCTCAGCTGTTCACAAAGTGACTTTAGTGGCCAGCTTATATATTCAGAGGGGGAGGAGACAAGGATGTCTGTATCAATCAAGACAGTCCCCACATGCAAATGAAGGACTGTGTTTGCACCAGTCATAGGCATTCTGCCATCACAGGCATCCTTTCCACCTGGGGAAGGGCTCCCCATCTTGCTTAGGAGGAAATGGCTGCAGGGTCATCTACAGTTTGTCAGTAAGATGGCCAGTTGCAAGTTGCTGGGACAGTGCCTTCAGGAACCAGAGTTGTGTTTTGGCAGCAAGCAGCTGGGGCTGACATGTAACTTCCTCAAGGCATCTGTGGAGTGTTCAAAGCAGTCGGTGATGGCATAGGGAAGTCCTTCTGGCTGCTTGTCTGATAACCTTTGCTCAATACAGCTGGGGCACCAGGGAAGGGTCTAAGAGCTGTCAATTAGGGACTCAAATTGCTCCAGCCCCAACATCTCAGCACATTTTAAAGGGTGCTTACAAGAAAGGCTCATCAGCAGTGACTTAGCAGCACTTAACGGAGCTCCACCAATGCTTAACTCCTGCCCCCCCGCCCAGGGAGAGGTGTGCCCCACCTTCTGTTTCATCACCACAGTTGCACAGGGCCATATGGTCAGCTGCAATTTTTTTACAGGAAAGAAAAAGTCAACGGGTCTAAGTAGCTCACACCAAGTGGTGACAGCATTTGAGCTCAGGTTCAAAGCCCTGTTCCCTTCTTTTAAACCGGAGATCAACAACCTGCCTGTAAAGTAACAGAGGTGAAAAGCAAACAAGAAAAAATCAATTTGCAGATCAGATTTACAATTCAACTTTGCCATGGCAGAGTGAAAATAGCCACAGATGACATGTAAATGGTGGGCATGGTTGTATACCAATAAAACTTTATTGTCCAAAATAGGCAATATTTGGTCTATGGGCCTCAGTTGGCCACTTCCTGTGTTATTCTGTATGCTTTCCATTTCAGGTCACTGTGGATGGCATCCCAGGTCCTGCTGCAGCTCCAGCCCTCCAACCAAAGCCAACTGTTCCTTCCCAACACCACCTTCTGTGACAATGCTCTGGAAGCCTGGGACCTGCTGTACAGACTACTGCCAGCATTCATCATCACCATCTGTTTCTTCGGCCTCCTGGGAAATGTTTTAGTCCTGTCCATCTTCCTTCTGCCCCGGCGGCGACTGACCGTGGCAGAAATCTACCTGGCCAATCTGGCAGCTTCTGATCTGGTGTTTGTCTTGGGTTTGCCCTTCTGGGCAAAGAATGTCTGGAACCAGTTCAACTGGCCCTTTGGAGGCCTCCTCTGCCGTGTGGTCAATGGAGTCATCAAGGCCAATCTGTTTATCAGCATCTTCCTGGTGGTGGCCATCAGCCAGGACCGCTACAGGGCGCTGGTGTACCCCATGGTGAGCCGGAGGTGGAGGCGGCGGCGGCAGGCCCAAGCCACCTGCATGCTAATTTGGGTGGTGGGGGGCCTCTTGAGCACCCCCACATTCCTTCTGCGCTCCGTCAATGCCATCCCCGACCTGAACGTCTCTGCCTGCATCCTGCTGTTCCCCCACGGGGCCTGGCACTTCGCAAGGATTGTGGAGTTGAATGTGCTGGGTTTCCTCCTCCCACTGGCTGCAATCATCTTCTTCAATTATCACATCCTGGCCTCCCTGAGAGGGCGGGAGGAGGCCAGCAGGACCAGGTGTGGGGGCCCCAAGGGAAGCAAGACCACAGTGCTGATCCTCATGCTGGTGGCTGCCTTTCTGGTCTGCTGGGCCCCTTATCACTTCTTTGCCTTCCTGGAATTCCTGGTGCAGGTGCGAGCCATCCAGGGCTGCTTCTGGGAGGAGTTTACTGATCTGGGCCTACAGTTGACCAACTTCTTTGCTTTCTTCAACAGCTGCCTAAATCCAGTGATTTATGTCTTTGTGGGCCGGCTCTTCAGGACCAAGGTCTGGGAACTTTATAAATGATGTATACCTAGATCTCTCACACCAATGTCCTCATCCCATAGGAAAGAAATCCTCCAACTGTTCTGGAGGAATTAAGACAGTAGTGACCCAAGAAGACTGGCTTCTTTATCAAGCATTCCTGATATTATTAAGACTACTGTGGCAGGCTGGATAACACTCCCCAGAGAGATCCAAGACCCAGGCTCTAGAACCTGTGACTGTTACTTTACAAGGTAGCTGGGACCTTGCAGCTCGAATTAAGGCTCTGGAGATGATTCTGGGTTACCCAGTTGGCCCTGATAAAATCACAAGGGTCCTCAAAGATGTGAGGACAGAAGCAGAGGTCATGCTGATGCAAGGAAGGGACCATGAGCCAAGGATTGCAGGCGCCTTCTGGAGGCTGGAAAAGGCAAGAAGACGGATTGCCTGCCATCTTCCAGAGCTTCCAGAAGGAACCGGCCTTCTTGCCAACACCTTGACTTTAGCGCCAGTCTCTAAAACTGGAAGAGAATAAATGTGTGTTGTTCTAATTCACTGAGTTTGTGACAATTTGTTACAGCATCAACAGAAAAACTAATGCACCGATCCAGCAAGAGTCTCTTATTGCATTTCTATTGTCTAGAATTTGGTGGGCTCACTTCAAGGAATGCAGAGATGTTATAACTAGAAATCCCATCCCCAGGAAGTTGCATAAATCTAAATAATTATGAATAAGAAAACAAGAAGTCGTGTGAGCATGCTACAGACCCAGCAGCTGAGTCCTCAGAGGGAAAGAGGGTTGGTTTCTTTTCAGGTCAGAGAGAAAGAACATTGTGAGGGGCACAAGTTGAGAGCTGAATTTCAGCACAGGGCGGAACCTGGATTTGTGGATTTTGAGAGGAAGGGCAGAGGAGCATCCCTCAAACCCAGAGTGGGAAGGCTTCTGAGTGTGTTAAACCCCAGGTATTTCCTCATTCCCATGTCTCCAGGGGTCCATCACAGACCCTAACGGTGCCTCTGCCTTCAGGGAGCTCATGACACCAGGATGAGAACTAGGAGAGTGTCACAGAGTGGAAAACCACCTAGCCAGGGGAGAAAAGGGGTATGAGAGCACAGAGATGGGCTCTGGCCTGTTTATCTGCAAGGAACAGTCAGAGAGAACTTCTCAGAAGAAGAAACCTATAGCCTGGTTCCCAAAGGACTAGTAGTTGGCCAGGAAAAACAGGGAAAAGACATGTTCCAGATGGAAGCAACCAACCAGACCCAGAGGCAGACAGCGTTTTAGGTTAGGAGAGAGGGGTTGGCCAAGGTAAAAGACCAGCAGGTCAGGGATGACTTGGGATTGAAGGGAAGGGACATGTTGGGAGGGTCCATGATGGTCAACAGGCAGAGAGAGCTCACTAGAAAGCATGAAGTTGCCCTGGGGCTCTGAGGGCCCCACTGAAGTTAAAAAGCGTGGATTTATGGTGCTAATTTATTCTCACAATGCTTGGTGGGCTCCAAAGGCAGACAATCTGATTGCTCAGGAGTTAGTTTTTGTCTGATGGATGGTCACAGTTCCCACAGGTTGAGGACACTGTCAGACTGTGGGGAAGGAAGTTCGTAAAGCAGGTGTGTTAGTCTGCTGTCCATCACTGTAGCACAATACTTGAGGTAACATAAGGGAAAAAGTTTGTTTTGGCTGTTTCAAAGGTTTCAGTTCATGGTTGTTTGTCCCTTCTGCTTTGGGCCTGTGTGGGACAGTATACCATGGCAGGAGTATGTTGTAGAGGAGGCTCTCATCTCATGGCAGCCAGGAAGCAGAGATGGGAAGGGGGTGGGGTTTCACTCTCCTTCCAGGGCACACCTCCAAAGCCCTAACTTCCTATCACTAAGCCTTGCCTCCCAACAGTGCTACAAGCTGGTGACCAAGTCTTTAACACATGGGCCTTTCAGGGGATATTTCAGATCCACACTATAGTAGGAGGTTGAGTGACACTGGGACAGGAAAAGCACAGTTATAGAAAGAGCACCTGGATGATAGAACAAGACAGACAGGAAGCTGTAGCCTGAAGTGGGAACATTTGAGTGGAACATCCCAACAGGAGAGACATCAGATGACAAAGACAGGTGTGGCCAGGGCACTGGGTGAATGAGTGGAGAGAAGGAGAAGGAGATGAAGACAATGTAGTCAAGGAAGGGCAAGTTCAGATGGGGCCTGGGCTGTCCACTGGACTCACTGGTAAGCAGGACCCTACAAGGCTCTGGGGAGGAGAAAGTCAGTGAGCTCAGGACCAAAGTCTGTTTCATAGAACAGAAAAGAAGGTGCAATGACCAGACCCCAAAACACTTGCAGGGGAGAGCCTTCACCCCTGCACAGAAGGGACCAGTCCTCATGGGACAGCACAAAGACTCAGATTCATTCTGAAATGAATGGAAAGAAGACAAGTGCTTCCAGAGGCTAGCAATGGGTGGGCCAGGCTGGGCCACCAGGACCTCAGGGTGAGAACTCATGACTGTGCTCCAGACAAGAGTTTCCTGGAGAGCAGTGTGGTTCTCATGGCCTCAACTTGGGTCAGCAAGCAGGATCCAGCCACATGGGTGCTTATTCGGACTGTATGGTGTTTAAAAGATGCTTTTCAGTTCATTGCCAAGGTTGAAATTCCACATAGCAATCTAGATTTCCAGCCTCTCTGAACACGTGGAAGACGTAGCAACACTCACCTGCATTCGTTCATCCAGCAGATAGTCATTGAGGGTCTACTTTGCCTGCCACTGTTGCAATCACTGAGAATCCAGCAGCAGACCAGAGAGACATTCCTGGTCCCCTTGGAGTTGACCTTCAGGAGCTCTCTAAGGCACTGATTCTTTGACGCTGAGTGGTTGTGGCTCTGTGGACAGAGTGCCCTCCCTACTGATATCACGAATGCTTGGCAGCTGCAGGTTATTGAGTTTGCAACCTCTGATCTGATCCAGTCCCTTTGTTTACAGTCTAGGAGACAGAGGGCAGTGGGACTTGCCTGAGTGCAGCAGCCCAACAAACTCAGTCATCTTTAATCTTCTTGACTTCCTCGTGAAACCCATGTCCTCACGTACACTTTCCAAGTGAGAAAGAGGAGGCTGAGGAAGACAGCATGTGGCCAAAGGGTAGAGGCTGGATAGGCTCTACCTATTGGCTGATTGATACCAATGCCAGTGTGATTTCTGGGACCCCAGGCAAGAATTCAGTAGGAAAAGGCTCTGAAGCAGAAGCAGGAGCAGGCAGGATGAAAAGAGCTGGGCAGGAACTTGAACCCAGACTCCCCTGCACTCTGCAAACTGCCCTTTCTTCTCTCTTAATCTGTATTTAGCATGTGGTTGATAAAGGCCTTTTCCAGGGGTTGCCAAAAGCATCCCACATTCAAGAAGAATGTGTTAGCCTGTGAACTCTAAGCACCTGACTCACAGGCCTGTAGTTCAAGGGTAGATTGTCAACATGATTTGATAAGTCAGACATCTGATTTATGGGAGGGAGGACATGTTCCAAAAGCTGGCAAACAGATCCACAACAGGAGAGCAGCTGGAAAAGCCATACAGAAAGGCTGCTGTCACCCTTCTGCTGGGAAGGTCAATCACTCATTTGCAAAGAGAGAAATTCCTGCCTCGGTTCAAAGGACCAGGGCTGGGGGAGCAGGAAACACTTTTAGTTCCCATGCACCTGGCACATCTCACACCTGGGTCCAGACCCAGGCTGCACCTGGGGTGCTAACACCTAGGGGAGAGATGAGTTAGCAACAATTCTACATCCCCAGCTCCAGTGCCCATGAGGGCTCCCATTTTCTGAGAAAGGCCAAGTCGAGATCTGGAACTTCTCCTCTGGTCCACTGCCAGTTTGGGGCCTGTACTAGGCCTCAGAATCACTTAGGCCCTATTCTGTCTTTGCTGCTCTCGATGCTGGGAAGGAAACGCCCCACTCCACCCCACCCTGCCCCAGCATCCATCACTCTGTTCATCACCAGGACAGAGCACTGCCAAGCCCCTCCAAAGCCCAGCCCCCAGGGAACTCCCCAAGGCTGCAAAAACCAAAGCAGATTCTTGTTCTCTGGAGATGAGCCATGCAGATGTCTGATGAGAACCAGGTTGGAGCCATCCCAGGAAAGATGCTCCCCACGCCTTACTCCCACCACCACTACCAAATACCTGGCTAGCAGGCCAGGGCTGCTCTAAGCACTTGGTTCCCAGCTGAACCCCTCCCTGGCCTCTGAGCACCTATGGTCATTCCTGCTATTCCTTTCCCATCGGCTCCACTATGAAGCCAGGGAAGATAGGGCCAAGCTTGGGGTGCCACTGCCTAGCACCCTTCTCCAGACTCTGATCTCTCTCAGCACCCTCAGGTGTCCCCACACCCCTGCTCAGCCCCAGGTCCAAGTAGACATTGTGAGACTGCTGCAGCACTGTGCAGCCAGGCAGAAGAGCCAGGTCCTGTGATGCTATGAAAGTGAAGTAGCTTAATGAGTTGCCTCATATTGTTTTTGGTTTTTGTTGTTGTTGTTGTTGTTTTTGCGGTACTGGGGCTTGAACTCAGGGCCTAAATCTTGAGCTTCTCCAACCTCCAACCCCTTTATGAGTTTTTTTCTAGATAGAGTCTTGCAAACTATTTGCCCAGACTGGCTTCAAACCACAATCCTGATCTCTGTCTGCCTCCTGAGTAGCTAGGATTACAGGCATGAGTCACCAGTGCCCAGCACGCCCTTTTTAGAAAGAGGTAATGAGCAAAGAAAGTGCTGGAAAATCAAAAAAGAGGAAGGGAAGATGAGCTCATACTGGGGATGATACCGACCACGACAATCCCTCAGCAAGTGCTGTTTTCTCCCACAAGCTGGAAGTGTTTATCACTGAGGCCCTGGTGGGGTGGTCTGTGCCCCGCATACCAAGGCTCCATCCCCAGCACCAAATAAACAAACACCATTGAAATGAGTGTGAGTCAAAGGAGTGAAGTCTGAATAAACTCTGAACAGTGCGGAGTGAAGTTGTCAATGCCTGTAATCCCAGCATTTGGCAGGCTGGGACAGGAGGATCTTGAG